AGCTGACCTTCCAGTGGGTTTTTAGAGTCTGTAAATCACATGGGAGGAGATTGCTCATCTTTTTCCCTTGGAGCAGCTGGTGGATTCAAACCACTTGCCTTTTAGTTGACAGTTAAACTCCTTACCACTAGACCACCAGAACTCCCTACATCAGCACTAGCCATGTTATACCTACTTATACTTTTGTATAAGTGTATAAGGGCTTGCCTTTACCAAATGAGTTCTGAGGTTTCGCCTGCCCTTTGCCAGGCCTACTGGGCCTCTTTTCTTGGCACAGAGACACTTAAGGACATCTTCAGAGCAGCCGGGCTACCAGGAGACCCTGAGGCCCAAAGATTTGACATCAAAGAAGGGTCAGAGAGGCCAAGGCAGGCTTCCTGGAGAGGCCAGTCCTCGACTGTGCATGGTGAACTTGCAACCAGAGCTTGGAGGGTATGTGGCCGTGAAGCTGGTCTGGGAGGTCCAAACCTGTTCTGGTTGGCTGATCCCCCTGGGAAATCCAGGGAGTTTCCAAACTGAGAGCTTGGGGGAGGGGTCCAGCTGGGTGGTAGGATTAGAGTAAGAGTCCTGCTGGGTGAGGAGGGTTCTTTGGTCTTGTATTAATCCCTCCTGCTGCAGGAGGCATAGTTGCAGAGGTCAAGGAAGCAATGCTGGGGTGTGTGTGTGTATGTGTGCGCGCGCACATGTGTTCACCAGCAGCAGGTCTGTGTCAGCCCACCTGTTCCTGTACGTGGGTGTGTAGTACCTACGTTTGTATTCCGTGCTTGCATGTGCCATGGTGGGTGCACTGTAAGACTATGCAGCTATTTATGTGACCCATGCCAGTGTTGGTCTAGTTGTGTGTGAATGTCTGCGTCCTTGTGAGAACAAGTAGATCTTAAATCATGTGTGTGCATGTGTGTCTATGAGCGATTGTGTACACAAAGGCTGTGGCTTGAATATACCATGTCTGTCTGTCCATGTGTGTCTTTCTGGGGATGACTTGGTGTATCTGAGGACCATTATTGTTGTTGTTATGTAACGTTGGACAGTGAATAGGGATGACAGAAAGAGAATTGATGCCTTTGACCTGTGGTGCTGGAGAAGAGTATTGAATATACCATGGACTGCTAGGAGAACAAACAAGTAAGTTTGTCCTGCAGACGGTGAAGCCAGAATGCCCCTTGGAGTCAAGGATTCTGAGGCTTCGTCTGACATACTTTGGGCATGTTGCAAGGAGGGACTGGTCCTTGGAGAGGGACATCATGCCTGGGAGAGTGGAGGGGCGGCGAAGGAGAGGAAGACCCTCGATGAGATGGATTGATTCTGTGACTGGAGCAGTGGGAATGAGTGCATTTGGGATGGCTAGGTTGGCACAGGATAGAATGGCGTTTAGAGCTCTTGTACATATTGTCGCTATGAGTCGCAAGTGACTCGATGGCCCATACAAAAACAACATGTAACATTGAGTCAGAATTGACTCACAGCTGACCGTCCAGAGCATTTTCAGAGGCAGTAAATCACATGAGAGGAGGTTGTCCATCTTTCTTCCATGGAACAGCTGGTGGATTTGAACTGTGCTGCTTTGGGTTGGCACTGCAGTTCCTTAGCTACCAGTGTTTCAGTGAATTACTTTGTGTGTGCATATCTGCATGACTGAGTGCATATAAACGCGCGCATACAGGTATCTATGTGTACATGTGTGTCTGGGAGACCAAGAATCCATGGTCTGCATATATGGGACTATGGATCTCTCTGCTCTTAAGAGCAACACTTCTGAATCCTTGTCACAATCTTTCCAATCAGATTGCTTCCCGCTCTCACCTTCACCTCTGTCTCCCGGTCTTTGCAGTTGGGGGCTCACGCTTTTGAGGTCTCCCTGCCCATAGGAAAACCTCATGGCTCCACTGACCATGACTAATGAGGTCCAGACTGGAGTGGAGACTGCAGGGGACACTCTCCCCAGACTAGCACCCCATGGAATCTCACTCCTCCCAGTCATAACCCCATCTCCTAACTTGCATCCCTGGCTACATTTGCCCTCTCTCTCTTGCATTTTCTCCATTTTCAGGAAGTAGCCTCCTCTGAGACTTTGGGGAAACAGAAAAGTCATAACTGAGCTCCCAGGGGATCTATTCTGGGACTGAGGATCTCAATTCCTAGAGCAGCCCTTAAATTGAGGCCACAGCCTAGCTAGGTGCTCCCTGGAGCATGTGATTAACAGCCGAATTCCTGCCTCCTCAGTTCTCTTTGCAATTTCCCTTCTTCTACATCCTGGCAGGGCCCCACAGTTCCTTCCCTGGGCCCTCTGGTTGCCATGGTTACATCCAGGGCTGGTGCTTGCCAGAGAGGGATCTGGGAAAGAGGTTAAGGGTCTGAAGAGACAGTTGGAACAGGTTCCTGAATCCAGGTCAATCTGCTGAGCCTAAAGTGACATTGGTGCAGGGAGGCCAGGACACTTACAGTAAACATCTGGAAAGGGGCTTTAGGGAAGCCTGTCCAGACTCCTTTCAAGACCAAGTCCCTCTGCACTCTGTTGTGTTTATTCATCTACACAGTTCCACGTGCTAGACCTTGTGCCATGAACTGGAGTCGTAGCTCTGTCAGGCTGACCTTGTCTTTGTTGATCTTCTCCAGCAAGTTCAGCATCTCATCAGTTCCTGAGTCCCAGGATGACACAGAAGCAGTTGTTTGCTGCCCTCCTGGCAGGCATGGATGGCAGAAGGGTGCAGGCACGCATGTAGAAAGGGTGCAGACCCCAGTCCCAGCTGGAGCCCATGCACCTGCTGCGGGCTGGAGCACGAGTGCAGGAGGGCCAGCCTGCTAGGCTGTCTCTACAAGCCTGACTGAGGCTGTCAGGCCCTTCCTTCAAAGGGCTGGCCCGGTCCCTGCTGCTTTATTGCCTAGCTAATGATGGTGTTTAGGCTGACAGGTGCCGCCTGCCCTCCTGTCCCTGCTGCCTGATGAGGAGAGTGGTTTCTGAACAGGTGGGTGAGGTTTGCACCCCTCTAGCTCTTTCAGGGCACCAACACTGCTGACCCCTCTAGCCTTGGGCAGACTTGCAACCACTTTCTACCCAGAGAAAGCAGGACCAACATCAGCTCACCCTTACCTCCGGGCCTCCTCTGTGACCTCAGCCCACACTTGCCTTGAGTAGGACAGAGAGCAGAGGGCTGGTGAGAAGGGGAGTGGAGAACAGTGTGGGATGTGCGTTTCTTGTGAAGTCAGTTCATCTTTGCCCTGGCCAGGGCCCAACCAGTGACATCTGTGCAGGGTCCCCAAGAAGAATGCATCATAGAAGGATCCTCCTGGCAGCTGGGTTAGAGCTATTCCTTGGAAACCCAATGCATTGTGGGAAAGTCATGGGGAATGCCTTACTGTTCTGGGGACTGTTGCCTGGGGCTTTGGTGGGGGGTCCCAGGTGCGGGTCTAGGTGGGAGCTGTGATTTGTGACTGCTTCATGAGTGAGGAATGCCGGCCTGGGGGCTGGGGGCAGGGTGGAGCCGCTCGTCTGACTCTCGTCGCCCTCCGGAGTGTCTGGCGTGTCCTGTCAGGATTCTCTGTCCCCTGAGGACCCCGTGTTCTCCTCCCTTCCCCCTATTCTAGCTCTGAGAAGGCTGTGCAAGTGCCCAGCCCAGGGGAGTCTAGAGTTAAGTCTTTCCTGGTTTTCTGTCTTCTGAGCTCAGCCTCCATTTTCACTTGGATATGACGGTGATGGGGAAATATCTACTTTTGCCCATGGCAGCAGCAAGGGACTGGATGAGGCTCTTAGCAATTTCTACCTAGATGAGCCCAAGACCTTTTTAAAAAAAAAACAGCCTGACCTTCCATGCTACTGTCTATGGTGTGAGAGACTTGGGATAGACTCAGAGATGCACTTCCAGCCAGGAGATTTGAGATGACCAGAATGGGTGATGACATGACCTCCTTCTCCTTCCCCGCCTTACTAGAGAGATGAAAATCCGAGTCTGGAGGCAGGGGCTGAGTGGGGGAGGAATCATCACCTAGAGTGTTGTCTGACCTTGGTCTCTAAAGGTCATGCCCATTTCGAGCTGGTACCTTGGAGTCTCACTTGCATCCTTCTTGGTGCAGGCTGCCATTTAGAGGGGGGAGGTCCATCTTTCTGGGCACCTAGCATGGGTCAGCCTGCCTCCCCTGGTCTGGTGGGACCGGTTTTTCAAGCTGGAGGAAGGGTCGGTGAGGAATTGGCAGGGGCAGCGGGTTTTATGTAAATGCCCAGGGAGTGCTCTGGGAACAGGGAGGCCGGTTTTCCCAAAGGCACGCAGGGACTGGCAGCTCCCAATTAGCTGGGCCGGGTGATGTCAGTGCTACTTTCCTGGGTGGCTGCGCCCACTCCGATCGGCCTTGGCAGGGGTGCCCCACCATTACCTTCTCCCTTGGGCAAGAAAAGTGCCAAAGGGGGTTGGCATGTAAGTCAGAAGCCAGACTCCCTCCCACTGTAGCTCTCAATCTAAGACATGTCCACGTGTGGACCAGGCTATGAACAACCATCCTAGACTACTGAAAAAGACTTTAATGTGGCTCATACCGGAATGCTCTCAAAAGCCACGAGAGGCTGGGGAGATCCCAGAATTCTGGGCCAATTCCAGAGGCTGATTCAGAACAACTGCTGTTAGCCCCACCTCCCCAGCCCACTTCAATCCTGAGTTTCAATAAATATAGTGCAAAGGGGTCTGTCTGGTCATCAAGTACGGATGCTAAAGATCACAGATGCCAGAGAGGGGGTGCCGGCTTGTCTGAAGCTACACGTGCAGTGCACGCACATACTGTCAAGTGACACACCTCCAATCGTGTGCACACATTCATCCTTGCTCTCTCTCACACACATATATACACACACATTTATACACACTGACCTCAAACACACAGGATTGCACACGCACACATCTCCCTGACAGACAAACGCCAGCTGACACACACCTGGACCTTTCCCTCGACCTTTGGTCTAGGACTTGGAGCAGGAATGGGTCTTCCTGAGTTTAGCCAGGCTGCACCCGGACCTAGGGGCTGGGGCTGGTTGTTGTGAAGTTGGGCATGATGTTGGATATACCACCACAGTGGACTGTGGTGTTGTCGATGTGGGCCCAGGGGGGGTAGGTGTTCAGGCTGAAGATGAGGCTGCTCCAGCTGTTCATGGCAAGTGTGATGACCAGCACACCAATGATGTTGAGTAGGAATCCTGCCCGGGCCTGGAGTGAGGAGAGTATCTGTTTTTGCAGGTGCTGAATTGAGCTTCTAGGTGCTCTGGGGGTGGGGGTGGCTCTGGGGTCCCCTCACTAGCCAAACTTCCCCTGGAAAGTCCTTCTTTAGTGTCACTTGCATCACTTAGACATTGTCCCTGTCACTCTCCAAACTCCTTATGCTAACAGGAGAATCAGACAGGCTCTGGGCATTGTTCTGCTTGAATCCACCTCCCTTGCTGTGGGTGCTTCCTGAGTTTGGCCAGGCTGCACCCAGATCTAGGGGCTGGGGCTGGTCATTGTGAAGTTGGCCTCAGTTCCATATTTCTCACCTCTTCTCTTCCCTTTCACAAAGCAGAGCCACAAAGATGTCCCCCCGAGGGGTCATGCTCCAGTCTCCCTCCTCCCACTGCTGCTTCACTGCAGTCTCCCCATTCTGGGTCCCATTCTTAACCCAGACTCTTTTGGTTTCAGGTCAAATTCAAAGCAGTACCAGGGTCTGCAGCCCTCCCTGCCACTCACCATGTCTGACACTTTGAGACCCCCGAAGGAGAAAGCAATGGCATTGGGTGGGGTGGCCACTGGTAGCATGAAGGCCAAGGAGGCAGCCAAGGTGCAGGGCAGCATGACGTAGAGTGGGTGGAGACAGATGGCCCGAGCCTGCAGGGTGCGATATGGAGCAGAGTTGATCCTGTTTCCATGCCAGAGAGGGAAATGTGCCCCCAATTCCCCTGCTCTTCTTTCAAAGGGACACCCCCCACATGCACCCTCTGGTTATGACCCTGGCCTCTTGCCGGAAGGCACTGTGTGACCTGGGCAGGGCTCCTTGACCTTTCTGGAGGGGATGAGTGTGCAACCCAACCCTGTGGGGTGTGGTGTGAGGAGGGGCCCATAAAACTCATCTCAAAGGGGCTACGAGGGTGTCATCAAAGGCTGTGGGAACGCACCTGGCGGGGAAGGGGCTAGGGACGCTCTGGGGAGCAATTTCACCTTGTCACCCCAAGAATGACCAGAACAGAGGCTAGGCCAGGGATGGGTGAGGCCATCAGGATGCTCAAAGGGTGAGGTCACCAGGGACAAGGTGAGTCAGGGGCCAGCATGCTCTGGGGCTTAGGGTGGCCACAAGTCTAGAGAAGGGTGGATGTTCAGGGGTCCTGTCCCAGGAAGGGGTGAGGTATCCCAAATCCCAGGGTGGCCTGGAGGGCTGCTGGGAGGCAGTGTCTTCAGGACCAGCTCACCATGGAGGCCAGGATGGGCAGGAAGAGTGTGGTGGTGGCCACGTTGCTGGTACACTCGGTGAAGGTGGCAACCAGGAGGCAGAGGATAAAGGCAATGGCAGGAGTCGGCACATTCTGCAGTGTGATCAGTTTGGTTCCCAGCCACTGTGACAGACCTGAGCGCTGTGAGCACAGGGAGGAGGAGTGTCACACGTGAGAAACTGGACTACCTGGCTCCTCAGAGTCCCCTGCAGAGTCAAGGACACCTCCAGGGCAAGACAGGGCCCAGGAAGAGCTGAGGCCCCCTTTATTGCTCTTGGAGAACAGATGATGTGGGCAGACATGCTGGAGGAGCTCAGAAAGGGGACCAGAGGCCTTCTTGGGACACCTGGGGCTTAATAGGAGTAAAGACCGTTGACACTCTGCTTTCTCCGTCTCTTCTGAACCCACTTGGAAAGTCCCTGGATGAACCTTAGCCCTCTCCCTGTCCCCACTCCCCACTCCTGGCCCAATGGCAAGCAGAACAAGTGGGAGGACCCTGGGAGAGGTTGGCAAGAATCTGACAGGAGCATAGGGGCCTATGAAAGGCTTTGAGGCCTTCAAGGTGTCGTCCCCTGTTTCCATCTCACCCTGCCAGATATGTGATGCCAGGGACCTGGGATTTGCTCTTATACAACGCTGCCCTGTAGTGTCGGGCTTGGTGGAGTTGGTGTTGGTGAATGCTGCTGGATGACTTAATCACAGACCCAGGAGTCCTCCACAGCCTTTCTTGACCCAGTAAAGCCCCCTCCAGTCTATACAGTGAACGAGGTCCAAAAGTGCAACTTCAGGAATTTCCCTTTTGGAAGGAGGCCCTGAGACGCCAGGATCCCGGGACCTGGCTGGATGTGTTCATAGTGCCCCCTGGTGGTTCCAATGGGCAGATTGCATCAATCCAATGCCAACAACTTGGGAGCTACAATGAATTGCATTCTTTGTCTGCAGGGTGGGAGGGAGTGACTTCAGGAGGGGGTGATTAAAGGCAAAGACAAGTTTTCACCTTCTGGAGAAGACTGTTTCTTCTCTTTGGCTTTGACAGCCTTAAAGGGGAGAGGTTATCATAGCTGGATTTCTTCCCTCTCCCTCCAACTGACTCTAATGTAAGTTCCTTCCACTGCCACCAAGTCTACCCCTAGGGTAACTCCTAGATGGGGATCAGTTCTCTCCTCGCGGAGTAGGAGAGTTCTTCTGTCTCTGCCTTTAAATGGAGTCACCTTCAAATAGGCTGGGGACTGGAGAGGGGTTTCTCACCTCACTGCCCTTGGCCAGGGCAAAGCCACCACCCAACAGGAAGATGATATTCCAGGTCATCTTCTTATTCACTATCTTCCAGTTGAGGAGGGCAGGAGGTGCCTTCATCTTCCTTGGGTTTTCTACTCCCCAAATGAAAGAAGAGGAATCACTAAAAAGAGGACTGGTTTTCCCTGCCCTCCAGTTAAGGATTCCTTGTGTGGGTCCCACTAGAGCCTAATGTATTCATGAGTTCTCAGTTCTGCAGTATCTTGACTTTGCCCTTAAGTCCCTGTGACCTTGGCAAGTTACTCCAATCTCTCTCCGTCTAACTCCTGCTAAGCACAATTGAAGGTATATGACAGGCCTGAAGGTTAGGATGTCGCAGATAACCTTTCTTCCCTCAGAGCAAGTGCTTACCTGGGTCCTGTATCAGCCCCGGGAACTTGGAGGGCACAATGAACATAATTATGCCAATGAAGAGAGACACAGTCCCATCGGACAACATGCTGTGGGGTGGGTCAGAAAGGGCAGACTTAGCATATTAGGGCAACTCAGGGCCATGGGGGCGGTGGAGGAGGAAGAAACAGCAGAGAGGACTCCTACTCCCCATGCCAGACATGACAGCCCCTCCTAGGAGGTTCCCACCTGTGAAGAATTGTGTTCCGTTCTGCGCTGGAGGTCCTGCTCCCTTCCCTCCTCCCCCAGATGTATGAACTTCAGAAGTATCTTCGCCTCTCCTCTGCCTAGGAATGCTCACCTTTGCCCCTTTTTGTTGGGAAAAGCGTGGTCGCCCCAGCCAGGGAAAAAACCAGGTTCCCGGGTGAACCAGAGCGCTACCAGGATGACAAAGAGGAACGTAACAGCTTTTTCTGCAAAACTCATGGGGCCCAGCAGCTTGTACTCTGTCTGGATGACATGGAAGGCTGCCTTCTCTTGCTCCCTCTCCTCTCCCCCGATGCCAAAGTTCTTCCGGAAGCTGTGGGCAGAGGAACAGGGACTACCTGTGAGAGCCATGCACCAGGCAGGGCATCATGGGGCAGCTAGTGCCCATTATGTGAAGACTGAGGGCCTACGAAAGCCCCCTTGGGACACTACACTGAAGCTTGGATACATCCAAGATTCAGGAAGAATAGAACACTCCCAAGAAGGTCATGGTTCTCACCTAATGGAGGCAGGGCCAGGGAAGCTGTTTCCTCCCTGCTTTACTCTGTTGGCCTCTTTCCTTCCCAGTATTCTTTTCGGCTCAGCCCTCTGTTGCCCAAGACAAGGAGGCCCTAGTAGGGCAGACCTGGTCTTGGCCTTGAACCACAGTTCCCTTCCTCCAGCTCCTTATGAGGAAAGCCTTCACTGTTTCACCTGCTTCTGGGTATCCTGTGCCCAACCTGAACCCCACCCTCATTGTCCTCATAGGCACAAAGGACTGTGTCTGCTTCCTTGTGCTGCTTGCTTAACCTGTGTTGACATTTAACTTTTCACTTGGGTACATCTCAACTTCCTTGCTGGACTGTGAGTTCTTCAAGGGCAAAGACTGTGTGTCACACATCTTCAAATCTCCAGGGGGCCCTGTACTATGCTGGTATCTTTGACTTGATAATAGTTCCTAACTTCAATTCTGCTTCCTCATACCTGGCTATGTTGTTTTTCTAAAGAACCGCCACCATGCTTAAGAAGTTTCTATGGCTCCCTATTGCCTGTGCGGGAAGTCACAGAAACATAGCACCTGTACCACTACTTCTTAGCCGGTGCTTATGGCAGACATCACTAATCAATCATAGAATTTAATTCCAATTAAGTCTTGAGATGCTTTTCAACTCAGAGCTCTAAATTACTACTACTAGTTACTCAAGTTTGGAAGTAGGAACGCAATTCATTTGCTACTTACTGATGGTCTCAAGAACGAGGTCTCAGTTTGTACCCTGTGAAGTCCTCCGTAACTATCCTTTGCTTATTTTCTCAGCTGTATCTCCTGACACGCCATTTTACACTTTACATTTCAACTCCACAGATTTCCCCCAAACACATCATGTTCTTTCTTGCCTCTGTGTTTTTAACACAAGCTATTCCTGCTGCCTAGAACACTTTTACCCTATTCTCCACCTGGCTGAACTTCTCTAGTCCTGCAAGATTCAGCTCCGGCGCTATCTCCTCCAGAGACCTTGTGGAACCTTGGCCTGTATTAGGTCCTTCCTCCTCCATCTTCTTGGAGCATCTGGGCTTCCCTTAACCATGACCACAGTGTAAGTCATCATCCATCATCAGAGGACAGGGACTGTGCCTCATGGATTCAACCATTTTCAGGGCCCCCAAAAGGGCTAGGCATAAAGCAGATGCTTAATAGATGTGTTTGTAACAGAATACAGTCAGTGTGTGCTCATTAAGCTCATTAAAGGACTGTGGAGCACTATGGAAAGGGCCACTATGGGAAGGGTATAAGCTGGGCATCAGGAAATGGGGTTCAGTCCTAACACTGATAAATCCAGCTGTGTACACAGGGCAGTCTTGGTTTGCTCATCTACTAACTAGGATACTACTCTTCATATCTTTAGTGATATTTTGGATTTTTGGGGTCCAAAACAGGGGAACAAATCATTAGAGGAGCCTTGGGAAAGGGAAGTCATTCCACTACGGTAGTGATTTGGCATTTTTTCTTAATGAGATCGCCCTTAGACCTTGGAAGCTCTCAGGGGTAGGACTGGAACTGAGCTCTCTCCCACCCATTCCACCACTTACTTGATTCCCAGAAAGAGGACCTGTAGCCACAGCCAGGCCAGCACCAGCAAGATAACCATGGTAGGGAATGCGAAGCTGAACCAGGAGGCAAAATTCAACACGTTGCCATTATTGGGGAAGAGCCTGGAGCGAGATATGTAGGCTTTGAGTGACGTTTCCCAGGCAACTGCCCAGCCTCATCTTCCTCACAGAGTGAGAAGATGTCCCCTGCCAGCCCCCTCCCCCAACACTCACGAGTTCATCTGGCCTTGCAGCACCAGGTTGGTCGTGGTGCCAGTCAGCGTGGCTATGCCTCCGATGCTGGCCGAGTAGCACACACACAGGCTCATGCCCTGGGCGAAGCGGAGCTGCTCCTGGTTCTGATGTGTCTTGGGCTTGGAAGGAGCAGGCTGGGCAGGGGAGACCTGTTCATTATCTGGGAGCAAAGGAGAGATCAGGCAGAAGGTAAGCACAGAGCCAGCTTCAGGGAGCAAGACCATGTTCCATGTTTCAAGTTCCATGGCCACTTGGGAGGCGCTGGGCTGGGAGGACAGAGGCTGCCTCAGGTCCTATGGGTCCCACACTTCTCTGACTCGCACATGGAGAGCACCCTTAGCCCCATCTGAACCGACCTCTCCTCAGAGAGAGAGAGAGGGTGGTTCGAGTCCCACAGAAGACTGGGCACTAGACCTCTGGCTGCCCATCCAATCTCTGAATCTCTGCTTATTCTTGTTGTTCTTATGTGGTGTTGAGTCACCTGTGACTCATAATGAACCTATGTATTAGCAGGGCCAAATATTCTGGTTTTCCCTGGACTAGAATGAGTTCCAGGATACAAGCTGTTTAAAACTGAGCAAAACTGAGTGAACCGGGAGCTCTAGTGGCCTAATCCATAGGGAGCTGAGCTGGTGGTTCAAATTCACCAGCAGGCCCTTGGGAGAAGGAGTGTGACGAGCAATCTCCTCCACATGACTTAGAGCCTCAGACACCCAATGGAGGGTCAGCTGGGAGTTGGTTCTGACTTGATGGTAAGAAATTTAAGTTACTTCTTGCCTCAGTCATGGGAATGCACATCCTCTCACTTCCTCCCGCAGAGACAAGGGGCTGGAGGGAAGCAGGATCTAACCCTTCATTCTCACCAAGCTTGGTCTCCTCCTTCTGGAGACCTGCTTCCTGGAGCTCAAAGGCAGGGTTGCAGTTGCCCACTTCGATGTCCTTGCTGTCCTTGCTGGCTTGTTGTGCTGGCTTGTTGTGCAGCTGGTCCAGGACAGCGTGGGCAATGGGTATCATCATGGCCGTGGTGGCAGTGTTGCTGATCCACATGGACAGGAAGGCTGTGACCATCATGAAGCCCAGGATCAGCCTAGGGATGGACAGACAGACGGCTGCATTGCTATTCCAATGTCCCTTCAGGAACTGGGTATTTGGCCTGCCACCCCCGACCTATGTCACCCCACTCTGGAATATGGGCACTCACAGGGCAGGCCGCACCCCGATGAGGAGGAGCGTGCGGAGGGCAATGCGTCTGTGCAGGTTCCAGTGCTCCACCGCGATGGCTACCAGCATCCCCCCGATGAACAGGACGTTGGTGTCATTTAGGTACTCAGTGGAGACCTGGTGGGCAGGCACATATTAAAGGGGGGGACACAGCTGAGAGACAGGAGAACTCTGTGGGCACCTGCTATGCCTCTGGGCTCATGGGATCCAGACATAGATGCACACAAATACATGTTGGTCCCTGATCTTTGTATTATCCAATATTTGGTATTAGCCAACTCTCTCTCTTCCCACCAAACTCCCTCTCTTCCCCCTCAGGATTGACTGGGAGAAAATGCAGAGTGATTTCACTCATGTTTCAAGTCATGGCCTAGGAGAAAGATAGACTTTAAGATTGGTGGGTGTTTTTTTTTTCTTTCTGTTTCTTAGAACTAGAGCAGCAGTTCTCAAAGGATGGTCCCTAGACCTATATCCTCAACATCACCCGGAACTTGTTAAAAATTAAAATGCTCACACCCCACCTTAGCCCTAACGAACCAGAACCCCCAGGGTGGGGCCCAGAAATCTGTTTTAATGAGCCTTCCCGGCAATCCTAGCACGTGCTCAAGTTTACAAAGCACTAAACTAGATGCTCTTTAGTTGACTTCCAAGACCTTTGCCTGGGTCACCAGAACTTTCCGTTTTTCTAGCCACTTGGATCTTGAATTGACTTTCAACACCAGGCATACACTCAGTGTTTCTAGAACATTCAGCCTTCTAGCTGACTTCTCTCTCAGTTCTCTCTGATCTTCCAAGCATAGATGGGACTTCTCTTCCAAGTGACCACCTATGATGAGGCTTCCTTGGTCATAGGACCATGGAAGCCCCTCCTCTCCCTCTACCCCCATGAGCTCTTTCATTCCTGGGCATGGAGGAGGCTCACCTCAGAAGCATCCATGATGCCCATCATGGGGAACAAGACAATCGGTAAGAGGGCTGTGACCGCCAGGGGCAGAACCTCCGTGCACCAGAAGAGGGCCATAAGGATGATGACGTAGGCACAGTAGGCTTCCTGTGAGACAGAAGAGAATGGGTCAGCTATTGGAGGACTGGGTCTGTGACCTAGTGTCACTGCTTCCCTTCTGCCCCTTGGAGAAGAGAGACTGTAACAGTGTAGGAGAACCTGTGAAACCTACAGTCACTGACTCCCAAGACCAAGGTCCCAATTTAAAATGGTAATCCTTTTAAAAAGCAATGCAAATTAAGGGTGATGGGAAAAATTCAAGAATAATCACGGTGTTTTAATGTCACTGCGAAGATTGTTGAAATGGCCAATATTTTGTTAGCTGTAAAGCTAAGAGAAAACACACAAAACATTGCTGTCCGGTCAATTCCAACCCATAGTGAAGCTGTAGCAGAGTAACACTGCCTCACAGGGTTTCCAAGATGCTGTCAGACAGAACAGAACTGTCCCCCAGGGTTTCCAAAGTAATTTTCCAAGGTAAATATTTGCAGAAGTAGACTGCCTCTTTCTCTCAAGGAGCAGCTGGTGGTTTTAAACCACCCACCTTTCAGTTAGCGGCTGTGTGCTCTTAACCACTGTGCCATCAGGGCTCCTTTGTTACCTACACGTTTACCAAACCGAATCAATCTGATGGGGTGGTATTAAGTTCAGAATTAACCAAGCATCACTATAGTAATAAAACTGACATCAGTTTTCTTCAGTCTACAAACTAGTTACTTTATCTTAGAATAGTTTTCTTCGCTCTTCTTTAGTCATGTAAAGTACTTTAAACTGCTTATTTACCAGGAGAAGAAATGCATCTTTGCTAGTTTAGCATTCACACCTCTGAAACTGTTTTTCTCAGTCATATGTACATAAATTGTGCCTCATATCTATGTAAATTGTGCCTTTGAGCTGCCTATTTACCAGGAAGGGAAATACAATCTTCCCTGGGTTAGCATTTACCTTTTCAAAACTGTTGTTCCTCAGTCATGTTAACTACTTAAGTTAAATATTTAATTAAATATATTAAGTTAAATACACTTCTGTAACTTTACTAACAAAAGTGTATTGTTAAGTAAATTAATATCTAACCCAAGTATAACAACTAATGATCACTCCGCGAAGGGGAGGCAGTTTTTGAGGAGACTCTCACTGTTCTCCTAGATCTGCAATAAAGTGCTATGGATATTTCAATCCAACTGTCTAAATAGCAATTGGCTACAGAAAGAATCCCTTGCGTTCAGTAATAAAACTTTTTTATTCAGTAAGAAAACTTTGTTCAAAGACAAAGCAAGGCTCTCATCATCCTGTCTTTGATTTAAGAAGCCTAGACATTATAATCCAGCCATGCTGTAGGAAGTTGGGGGAGGGGGGAGGCTGGAGGCATCAGGGACCACATGGCTTAAGATGAGATAGGGGCTGCCAGAGCAAGGACCAGCACCTGGGCAGTATGGACTCCAGACTGGCACCTTCTAATAACATTTTTATTTGTGTAACTATGGGGAGCTCTGGTAGTCTAGGGGGTAAGAATTGTGCTGCCAACCCAAAGACAGGCAATTTGAATCCACCAATTGCTCCATGGGAGAACGATGAGCAATCTCCTCTCGTGCTATTTACAGCCTCTGAAAACCCACTGCAAGCTCAGCCCTGAGTCAGTTTCTTCAATGGCATAAAACTACAACATTTAATCAGTACCCATTCGTTCTGTGAGGAAATGAGTCCCTGACTTAGTTTTGTGACCTCTTCATCCATGAAGCTCAGAAACTAGCAGGTTTCAGAACAGATACTTTCTGAATGAAAATGCAGCCCAAAAATAGTCCTCAAAAAAAGTTAAAAAAAGAAGGAAAAAAAAAAAGAAAATGGAGACAGCTCTCCTTCTTAACAATCCTAGCATGGATGCTGCCCTTACACAGCTCCATATGGTGCCGTTCACATTTATAAAACAGCTGGAAAGTTCCCCTATGTCTGCCCCGTGGGTCTTTGAGTGTCAGACTTCCCCTTTTGGGCATGAGGCTCCTATGTCCAGAGAGGTCAGGTTTAAGACTAGGAGGGGCCCTCTAGCAATAATGGAGGTCGAGGCCTCACCCTCCCCAACAGAGCCTCTCCTCAAGGCTAGGAAGGAAAAGTCTGGAAATCATTAGCCAGAAAGAAGATGCCTCCAGGAGAGGGGGCATCACAGGCCAGGCTCCCCAGGACTCCCCACGTTGTGCTGCTACCTACTCTTCGTTTGTCAAAGGGGCTGGGTGCTGGGTTGATTGGACAATGGGACTGCAGGTGGATGAGAAGAGGAGGTCCCTTCTCTCTTTATTCACTCAACTGTTTTGCCCCCTCACTGTCTCCCCATCTGGTACCTACTCAACTCATCTCCCAACTTTTCATACCCTGATGTTTGGGGAAGGTCCACCAGCATTGAGGAGAGAGGGTGACCTGGGGGAAGAGGAAGCTGTTGCTTATTGAGCAACTCTTAAAAGCTTAATGTTCTCATCTATGGGATTTTCATAAAAGTCATTAAGGTTGGTGTGGTGGTCGTCTCAGAAACAGGAAGTGGCTTGCTCAGGGTCACAGAACCTGTCAGAGGCAAGGGAAGGAGGTAAACCCCGGCAAGGTGGCTGCATCTACCACTCTAAGGTACCCTCTTGAGCCTTCGCTTGCAGTCTACACATATGGCGCCTTGGGGCTGTGCAGTAAACAGCCTGCACCATTACACCAGGGGAACTCTGGGGGCTTAGTGGTAAGGAACTGCTCCGCAAACTCAAAGGTACACAATTCAAATCCACCAGCTGCTCTGCAGTAGAAAGATGAGCAATCTCCTCCTGTGCAATTTACTGCCTCTGAAAAGCCTCTGGAGAGTCAGCTATGAGTTAGCTAGGGTTAGGCTGGGACTTGATGATATACAACAACAGTCATTACACATAGCTAGCCATTGCAAAGCCAAGTCTGAGGTCAGGCTCACTTTCTTTCCTCTAAACCTTCACCACTTTCTGAACCCTGAACTTGAACTCATTAGCCCCAGAGGTGGGGCCACCTTGACCCTGGGCCAGAGACCCACCCCCCTTCCTTCCCCAGAAGGAGGCCTTTCATGCTGATGCTGGTGTTTATCCTCACTTGCAATGATTGACCGCCTGTTATTTATCCTTCTCTGAGGACATGCTGCTCCTCTGGACCCTGACACCCCCCACCCGTTGCACCCCGGACTCTCTGGCATAAGCCGAGGTTGGGGGGCTGAGTTGACTGACTCATTGCTGATTCAACAAGAAAGCTCTGCTAATAGCCACTGTAGAGGGGCCCCAATTCACTCCTCTTTGTAGGTATTGTGGGGCAGGTGGTGTCTCTGTGTGTGTGTGTGTTAAAAATTTCCTTTAGTTGCTGTGAGATGACTATTGTCCCCATTTCACAAATGAAGAGGAAAAAAGACACAAAGTAAGTAAACATCTCAAAGTCACACAAATAATAAGTAGAAAAGTCACGCCATCTGGTTCCTCAGTCCCAGAGTTTTTTACTTTTGCTCTGCACGCAACCCTTTTTGCTAATTAACCTCAGTCTCCACATTGAATCCCTCTTGGCCCCACCAAACATGAATTTGGACCATATCCTGTAATCTTAGGGAGAACCTGTGTGATGCAAATGGCTAAATAGTCAGCTGTTAACCAAAAGGTTGCTGTTCAAGTCTACTGAGGGGTGCCTCAGAAGAAAGACTTGGCAATACTTCTGAAAAGCCAGCCCTTGAACGCCCTGTGGTGTGAAGGTCTTCTCTGGAATTCATGAGGTTGCTAAGAGTCAAAGTTGACTTGACAGCAACTGTGGGTTGTTGTGTTTTGGTTTTCCTCCTCCTGTTGTTTGTTTGTTTGTATATTTAAATAAAATAGTGACACAGATCAGACATTTCAAGAATCTCAACACATTATCTCAAAATATTGTTTACATCATCAATATTTTAAAATTCTAGTTGTTAAAAAATTATAGTTGTTATGCTATCACTCAATTTTGTTATTTAATACATTAATATCAATGTTGATGTCAGATGGATCTTGGCTGAAAGCAGACAAAGTTGTTTATCTGTGTTTTATTGACTATGCAAAGGCATTCAACTGTGTGACTCATAACAAGTTAGGGATAACATTGTGAAGAATGGGAATTGAAGAATATTTCCATTGTGCTCACGCTGAAATTATACACAAGCCAAGAGATCATTATGTGAACATATAAAAGGGATACTGTGGACTACCAGGAAAACAAGCAGGTCTGTTCTTGAGAGGGTGAGACCAGGCTGCTCCCTGGAGGCAAGGATTTTGAAACTCCTTCTCACATATTTTGAGCATGGGGCCCGGAGGAACCATTCTTTAGAGAGAGACATCATGATTGGAAGAACAACACAGGAAAAAAAGACCCAGGATGAGAGAGATTGACTCAGTGACTGGAGGGATGGAATTAGGTCTGTTGGAAAAGATGAGATTGGCTCAGGACAGGGCAAATTTCAGCGCTAATGTCCATTAGGGTTACCATGAGCCTCAGGTGACTCGACGGCACATAACAACACCAGTATATGGCTGAAAATTAGGAAGTATGGTCGAAATTATATCCTTCCATCATACTTATTCAATCTGCATGCTGAGCAAATACTTTGAGAAGCTGGACCATAAGAAAAAGAATGTGGCATCAGAATTGGAGGAAGACTCAACATGGAGGAACAACCGGCAGGAGAGAGATGACACAATCTTGTGTGCTAAATGCAAAGAAGCCTTTGCTGATGAAGATCAAAGATGACAGCCGTCAGTGTGGATTACACCTCAACACTGGGACAACCATTCCTCACAAAGGGACCAATAAAAAAAAAACAAAAAAAACAACAACAAAGGGACCAATAAACAACATCCTGACACACTGAGCAATGATTCAAGTTGCCAAGGATTTCCTATCACTCAGATATCCACAATCAACACACATGGAAGCAGTAATCAAGAAATCAAACGGAGTAATGCATTGGGAAAATCTGCACCAAAGACTTCTTTAAAGTGTTAACAAATGGTTTATTTTGAGAACCAAGGCGTGCCTGATCCACGCCAGGG